AAAGCAACTCACTTCCAAGAGTGTGTCAGCAAAGAAAGATTGTAGCCGGTCTGAACTAAGAACTGTCTGAACTATGTGAATGCACCCCAATCAGAGAATTGTATCAAAACATAAACAAAAACTATGAGACAACATGACTCAAAATCCTACTCATAAAGACCAAATTACATCCCTTATAAATCTTGGGGCTTCAGCATTGAATTGCAAAACAATGACACTGTGATGTTTTATGGTTTGGCAAGAGATGAAAAAGTATGGGAATGTTTGGGGGGTGATCAGACCTGAGAACATGTAAAGTGTGGAGGGAGATGTAGTCCAAAATAAACACAACAGCGGTCTCTGTGGGCAGGCTGTTCATTTCCCGTACTTATACAAAATACTTGAGATCAACAGTAGATTTCACCCAAAAAATGTGCCACCAAGACCCAGTTCTGTACAAGCTGTTTATTTAAGGCTGCTTTTCTAATACTTATTCACCCTTTAATCAAATAAACATCCCACAACAGCCCGATTACATGACATTACTGGCTCGTTACCTATGATAATCACTTTTCTGATGCTATTTAAGAGTACTATCTAGACAGTACTCACTTGTATGTGCTACACAGCCGATGCCCGCTACACAAGGTGATATATGGTTTGTGCACCGCTTGGGCATAGGACTGGGTTGCCATGACGATTCTGTGGCTGTGAAGAGAGGATTGGCCACATACCCTCCTCCTGAAAAAGTTCATATTAATTAAATATTAGAAAAAAACTTTAAGGCGTAAGAAATTGAAAATAGCTAAATGGTGATGAGTTTAACAATGACTCAGATTTGCCATAAAATAAATGGCTTCTAGTTACTCTTCCATGTAACCAAATACTTAAATTCACAGTAGAATATATACTACTGCTTGTCAGTATGTTACCCAGTGCCTGTCTAGTAACAAAAGATGGACACTAATACATTTCTGACAATGTGTTTTATGTCTAACAAAGTGATAAACAGGAAAAGGTTAAGAGAGACCAGACTCAAATGTTTCTTTCTTTGTTAGACGTCAACTAAAACAAACTGTATTGACCGAATAAGGGAGCGTGATAAACACAGGAAGTACTATATTAGCGTACCCGTGGTGAGTGTGGAGCTGGGGAGTGCCCATCACATGAAAGATGAAGAGGGAGGAGTGGAAGAGAAGCACTTGGTTCATAGTCTCTTTCTTTTCCCACGTTCTTGGACCCTTTAAGTTGTAAGTGGCAGCCAGGAGGACAGCAGGATTAAAGGAAAGCTTGTGGACTGTGGCCAAAGTCCCTCACTGTGAATATATCAGTGAAGAGGACAGCCCCAGCTACCTGCAAAAAGATCATAATTATAATGTATGTTAACAACTAATACAGTGAGGAAGTGAACATAATGCCTTAATGTGCCTTCAAGCAAGTCATAGTAGAAATGGTTTTACTTATATAATCAACATGCAGAACTCTCCAAAACACTGGGTCACTGTAGAAGAAGCAGCTGGTATAAGGGCACATGAGGTGAGGAAGAATGCAGAATGTAGCGTCTTAGCTCAGAGGAGGTGGTCCTAATATCACTCCTAGACTAAAGAACTAAAAACCTCTGGCATTTGCATGTCACAAATTAACTTTAGCTATGTGATTAGTCACATCTTGTTGCACTGTTTAGTCTTAAGGAGCCAGTAGAGTAGGCTATTTCAGTTCACATAATTTTGTATAGAGCTAGAATAGCTAAAATGAATGTAAACTTAAAAGAATTTGCTTCACACCGAAACAAGCCTAACACAATTAAAAAGGGCATGGTAGGGCATGGTAAATTGCACACACATTTAGCTAAAAGTGTAATTAAACTACAGTTCATATTCTAACTTGAGTGTGAGTAAAATGAATTGATTAGACTGAGTGGGTTGCATGCACTGCATCCTGAAATGACATAATGCTGTTTCCTGAAATGGCCACATGAGGACGCTGTTTTGCGCCACAACACAGGGATGACGCGTTATCGTTTTTTAATCACAACAGTTGCATTCACACCAATCTGATGGTAACTAGTTTCTGCACACACATGCTACGAGGCCTACTGTAGATCTGGATCCAAAAACAAGTTCCGCAAACAATGTCACAAACAGCGAAAGTCAACGTGCATTCTGTGCGCGCTCAATCCAATGCGAGCGAATGCATGCAAACGATCACAAACCGTACAGTGAAGTTGAGTTTAACGTCCCGAATAAAGTCCTACAGACTACGGCAGGGTGTAGGGGACACTCGTAACAGTTAAGCTAGTCCTTTTAAGTTCCGCCAAAAACACGAAGTCCTCTGTAGTGTTGATGTTGCTTAGACTGACAGAGCGCATGGGGGGTGATAGGACCTCCTCCCTCTCGTGTATCTGGGGTCCCGCTGCTCACCCTGTCTGATGATGGGGGACCCTCTGTGACGTCAGACCGGCTCCAGACCACAAGAGCTTCTCTTGTTTCATTCATAAATCTACTGAATTGCAGTCAGTCACTAGCGCAGCTGACTCACTAGTACTTGTTAGGCTACATGAGGAAGCTTAATGGTAATTGGCTGGAAAATTTGGTCTGGATATTTTAATAGCCACTTTTACTTGTGAAAGATGAAGAAAAAAAACATGTAGCATATAATGCCAAACCAACATTTATACGTGTAATTCAATAATATTAAAATCAAGTACAACATGAGTTCCACTTACCGGTTGAAAAAGTGCGCGTCAGGTGTACGCGCGCGCTCAGGGGCAGCCAAGCGCGCAGGCCGCTGGGGCAATCTTGAGGAAGACTCCAACATGGTGTCAAATTATTTTAAACCTGGCTTTTGCCGTTTCTCTAAGGCCTTGCTGTTAATTTTCTGTGCTTCTGTGAGTCGAGTGGCGACAAATGAAATGTCTTTGGGCGTTTTTCAGTTGCTTTTTATGCTGGGCTTCCTGTGGAACGCAGGATTTGGACGGACAATCCCAATCCGGATATCCTGTGAGTGTTCGACGCTGATAAAACCATTCCCTTGTACAAACACTCCATCCTGCTTAGAACTCTTAGCAAATTTGATTTTTAGAGCATTTTTCTATGCAACATGTGCGTTATAGTCTATGGAGAGAGGCATGTTATCTTCTACCCTATAACTGCTATGGCTGGTCAAAAGGAATCTGGTGTATTGGAAGCCTTCAGTGATAGCTCTACATCATATAAAATAATTCAGTTTTCTGGATGTACAAGTGACTACTTTTGTGTTTTGTGGTGCAGTTAGGTGACTGAAGGCTTTGAGGGTGATGATAACAGTAGCAGTAATGGTGTAAAATATACTCCTTTCCACAAAATTAATAGTAATCTTAACATGCATAATGTAACTTTTCTGGTGGCGGTATGCCACCTGTTTGCTTCCATGTTGTTAGTCTGGATAGTATGACTTTAAACACATTGCACCAGGTAACAAGCCCCCAACTAGAAAAGTTGTGCTGTTCTCTGTACTCCATGCGGCTTCTTTTAGTAAACTCAATAATCTGAAACTAATCTTTCCACCAGTCATGCATAACATGGCCATCTAGGTCAGTATGCTTTGTCTTGCACTCTTCTCAGCCCAAGTTTTATATCCTAATGGAAGTAATAACAGAGTTTTCAGATATTTCTGTTATGCAAAATAGGCTGATGCCCTTCACACTGTTTACAGAATAATGCTGAATATTAAGTAGAAGGTGCACTTGAGGAGAGATTATATTTAGCCTTTTTGTTCTACAAAAATAATCTTCTATAGTTGCTACACAAAAACACAGCTCATAAAACTATTTTTCCTGTGATAACAAAGAGACTACGTGCAGAGGAACCATGGGAACCATGAATGGGGGATGCAGATGATTATTCTCACTTAGTGGCCCCTTAAAATACAGCATCTACAGTGAGATTGAAGTTATTTGTGAATGTGACATTATGCATGTTGTACAGATGGAAGAGGGAGGGTATGTCTTTAAAGGAACTCTCATTCTTTGAAATCAGGACTTGGCCGTCACAAGCAGATTTGAGTGTCCGTGTTCCAGGTTTGCCCAGAGAAGTTGTGGGAGGCAAAAGTGAAGCAGAGCGGCACTTCCTCTTCAGGAGGAAACAGGAAAAGACTGGAAGAGAAAGATTCTGGAGTCTGCACCCTCGGAACAATAAAAATCTCACTCTGACAGGAAGCGGACCTGCGTCAAAGGGACCTGACAGATTTTGGTAAAGGGCAGTAGCAGTGACCCCGGTGGGGCATTAAAAGGAGGACGTCTGTGCCACTTCATGTGGTCAAACTTTCTGATTCATGAACCCTTGAAAGATAGAAACTGTTTTACCAAATAATCCCTGTGTAAAATTGTTATGCTGAGGCTCACTGGAGAAGGCCTACTTTATACACTGAACAGACAGTTCCAGTTTTTTTATGTTATTGTTTTTTTCACAACTTGGATTTTTGTAACAATTTCACAATTTCAGGCCTTTTTCCCCCCTTTGTTTAAAGCTAAACAACATTGTAACCACATATGTGTCATAGGCACTTTCCAAGCCAACAGTAAATAGCTCAAAACAAAACAAGATGCAAAACAGATACACTGCAAAACAATTGCCAAAATTGACCAAATTAATGTATTAGAAACATTTTAGGTTGAAATGTGATCAGTTCCAATTCCAAAGAATATATCAAAACCATAAGCATGCTATAACTAAAGTACACTGATTTAAATCATAATAGTATTGCTGAAAAGTGAATTGAAAAATACACACAGTATATTGTGTGAGCTTTTCTGATTCACATATATGTGGAGTGTAACATTGCTATAGGAAGCACTGAGCAGCCAGGCAGGACATCCTGTTGTTTCCTCCTCACTGTCACTCACTGTCTGAGTCTGAGTTGGACATGCTGAGGCTCCTTTTACTTTGGTCATGCAATAATTGAAAACCGATGCATATTATCAAAACATAATTGACAATATACATTACTGAAGTGCTTTCTTCTCATGTTTTTGTGAAGTTATTTGTGTTAGCAAGTATGGAGAGATTGCAATGTCCTACCCAGGTCTTTCTATGCTATGTTTTAGTATATTTTGTATTTTTGCATCCCAACAATGCCAGAATTCACTTCCCATTGGTTCAAATCAAAGTTAAAAAATAAAAAAAAATAGTAGGTACAATTACATATCTAGAAAAATTAGATAATAGGGAGATAACCTAATACTTAGATCTAATTATTGGTGTGTTTTTACATGCACATCTAAAATCTGATCATTCCAAACACGTGTCTGGTGATCTACAGATTTTTACAGCAGTAATTTTACAATTCTAATAGTAAAAGTTCTCCTTCTTCTACTCAGAATGTAGAAGGGACTGGCTGATCAGGCAATCTTTAAAGAAGGAACTAATAATTAGCCATAAAAGTTACTTATTCAACCCTCTTCAGCTCAAATATTACCTTATTACATTAAAATAACAAAAATCTCCCACTTTTGTCAAAGAAATTTTACACAATAAATATTAAGACCCAAAATATATTGCATGCATATACGTGCATTTCAATATTCTGGCCACTCCAGACAATGGATAATGATCAGATTTTTGTTGTGCATGTGAATCTAAGCCAGGGTTGTTTTAACTGATATCCTGCATCATATTTGATTTTCTTTAAAAAAAAAACAACAAAAAAAAAACATTTTGATCTATTCATAATAAGTGTAGTGTTAAATATTTAAAAAAAAATCTTAAGTCAGCACTAATACACAGAAACAAAAGGCTAACAGGGTGTAACAAACATCCAGACAGACATCAACTGATAAGATTTTCAAACACAATTTAGGAACGAGAACACCCAGTGCCTGTCCCACAAAACTGGGCTACATATGTCCCATTCCTATATATATCAAGTTATGTTATCACAAGGATAATCTCATTTTAATAACATTGTGAAATTACAGGTGCAAGGCCGCAAACATTAACATTTGTTTCAACTTAAAATGCAGTTAAAGCATTTTCTGTCACTATATTTTACAGTTACATTATAATAATACAGTTAATATAACCATGCATATTTCTTGCTGCTGTCAAAATAACAGTGTGACTTGATATAAGACACCAAGGATCCCAGACAGCAGCCCTTAGAAACTTCACCCACCTTAGTATAGTCACTTGATCCTTGTTGATGTGGTATAAAGATGTTTCTGTTTATGCCCAGACATACAGCTAAATCTGAACATGCCATGCAGCTACACAATAAATGTAACAACAGTGCAAATAGTTTTGCTCTGTTTAGTTAGAAAGCCACAAAATACCAAGAGGGTGCCGTTACTTTCTCCTGAGGTCTTAATGATGGGTTCATTAAAAAAGTATCTTGCCGGGTAACTCAGTGCAGATGTTCTACTGTATGAGAAAGAAAGAAAAAAAATTCTGGAAGAAATTTTGTTCAACCACAACTGCAGAAGCCCTGTACAGTAATCTCAACATTACAGCCATTTGATCTTGAGACAGTCTTTGATTTTTTCCCCACAAAATCTCAAACTTCACCACCCTTGACAGTTTAATGTAGATATTAAGCACTGTTGTTTAATACGGAGGTGTTTTTAGATGTAGTTTGTTTGGGAAAAATCTGACTCAAGCACAGTTGCCAATCATATGAGAGTAGACAGTATTTCAGAATCCCTACCTCTTTACCACAGATAAGCACAGCCGTGCACACGCTAACTGTGACTCTTTCAGAAGCACAATGCACGTGCATTTTACCTGTCCCATGTAACACACATTTTATATTCAGGGATGCATTCAGACAATATTTCTGTTGCACGCTACAGCAGCAGCGCTTGTTTGACCATTGTGACAAGATCTTTGGTTGTATAACGACACACACAGAAAGTGCAGGCACGGGATGTGAGCAGGGTGTGGTGTTACCTCTCACTCATGATCCCAAAAACTCACAGACAAATAGCATGCACAAATGGATGGATTTAACAACAGAGCAAATGACCATATGCATGTATGGTCTATGTTATAAGCAGAGTTTCAAATCCTTATTTTGGTTTAATTTAATGAACTTGTTTTGCATTCCTTCACCTCCTGACAGGAACTACATTCCAGGTCTTGAAAATAGCGGCTGAAACAAAGACAGGAAGTGATGTGAGACCACTTCCCCTCCAGTCCCCTCAGAATTATCTCAATCCTGCAGACTGGCCCTACACTCCTCCCGCTCAACCACCACTTACATGAATACTCTTAAAGACTCCTACATGAAGTATATAGCGCTATAGTGCACATTGTAACAAAGGCAACAGCCCTTTTTATTCAAACATATTATTTAACTTAACCTCTAACAGAGATCATTAAGCAATATTCAACTTCAAGACCAGCCTGGTTGTCATTAGAAAGCAGTTGGACTCACCTCTAAACTCACAAATGTAGAAGCGTTGTCAATGAAAAGTGGAGGATACATCTAACGCATTTGTCAGTGTTTTTTTTTTTTTTCTTGATGTAATGAAAACCTGGTGTGACCCTTGACCTCAGATTCATATGGCATAGTGCTGCAGAGAATTAAGTTGGGCAAAAACAACATCTTTGTCAGAACTCAAAGTGGATTGTGCATGACTTGTTTACTTCTTGCAACGCTTTACTTTACCTCAAATGTTTACTCAGTCATGATTCATTTCAGTATGACAAAGGTAGAAATGAGTTGGGTTAAGAATATGCAAGTCTCTGCAGATTCCAAAATGACAAATAAAACCATCATATATATATATATATATATATATATATATATATATATATATATATATATATATATATATATATATATATATATATATATATATATATATATATATATATATATATATATATATATATATATATAAAATCCTTACTTCTGTACATAGATTCTAAACACTGAACCACTTAAAGGGGAGTAGTAGTTGGGTGACAGGAAGGTTCATTCAGCTCAATCTCCCGAAGCAGATCTTCCGTTTCCATGTGTTAGCATTACAAAAATATATGACTCACAAAGCAGGCCGATAAAACAGTGGATGAACAAGATTGGAGGGGCTAAGGTATATGCCACTAAGCCATGGCATAAAGAATCACAAATCACTGGTTTGTCAAAGATGGAGGTCTGTTTATTCTGTGGAGAATAAATACACTTTGTTGTCATTTCGCCAAAAGCTGCAAATTTGGTGGTGGAAAAAAATATTTCATGGTTAAAGCTTAAAGACCCCTGCCACTATAGAAACCATTCCTGAAATTCTTAGAAATAATATTTCACTTCTACACATCCACTTAACTGCACAATACTGCATATTCGTTTAGGGTGGCTAACAGCTTAGAGAGGCTTGTTAACTGTGTCAGGTTCAATGATTCATTATGATGCATTTGGTCACTGAGTTAGTGATGTACAGGTTGTTAATGTGAGGCACTAAACTGTACACCCCCAAAGAAGCCTGGTTAGGTTCCCTTTTAACAAGTCTCCACAGGCTCATCTATCCTCTCTAAGAGCCTGTCAGTCTATGCTCAGGGAAAAGCCACATTGAGGCTATAACAAAACATAAGTTATTTATTTGTCATTATACAAATTGTATTATAAAGTTACAGCTTTGGCCTTGTTAGCAATTATAAGCCAAACTTCAACATTCTAGTTTAGTACCACCCTTGCTTGAATTGTGCTGACCATTGCATTTCTAAACCAGTTCAGGTCTGACCACTGTTCATTTAACAAATTTAAAATTGAAACATTTTTAAAATAAGTTTTTCTCCAGTGGGTTTTATTCAAAACTGGATTGAATGGCCAGTAGAATGAAATTCTACTATAATATTTCAAATAATAAACTTGATGTAATAGTTTTCATTTCATCTCCAGAGAAACATACATTCAGCAGGGAATAAAATAAGACTTATACCATGGGGGATGGCTGTTTTAAACATCGCAGGTCCAGATGCTTTCAAAGCTGTTTGCTTATTGATCACATTCTCCAGGAGCAGCTCTTATCAGCCTCCCACTCCAGTGACCGTCTGCACTGAATTACTCTCTCCTTTCAATCAGTGCTATATCTGTGTTTGAGCTGTCATGGACCATAGAATGAGGAGGTAATAAAACCTGACGATACACTAAAACCTGCTTGAAGCATTGAACAAGATAATTTAGGATTATTTTTAATGGGCTATATTTTTAACCTTTATTTTTAAAGGTCTGGTGAAAAATGTTGCAATTGCATTAATATTTGCTTTGGTTCCTCTACCAATAAAAAACATATAGGTCCAGTCTAGGGGCAGGATTCCCCCATACAATGCGTGGGACCGTTCCAGATACCTAAAAATAAAAGTTAGCATGCGATAGGGCTAGGGTCCAAAATATTTTTCCACTAATTATTTTATGCATGGGAAATTCTTTCTCTCTGTCAACATTTTTATGGCTTGTTTTAACTAGGATATACTGAGGATTGATCCATTTGAAGCAGCTTTGCATAGCAGCAGATCAAGCATAAAATTGTGTATTGGTGTAATATAATTCATAAATATCTACTGTTTACTATCCAGTCACCTGCAGAGTCTTCCTCCTTTCATTTATTTTGGATTTCCTTGTTTCATCATTCACTTGGTTGGCAGGTCAAACCCCCTTTAACAGCAGGGGTCAACAGATGGTGGATCTATCCATTATGGTCCTGTCCTGCATGAGTAAATGCTTAAGTTAAGTTTGCTAGGATGGACAAAGGAAAGGTGTTCTTTTTGTAAAGGATGGAGAACTAGTAAAACAAGAACAGGGTTATTGCTCACATGACAGAAGACCACACACATTCTGTAAATAGAGGGACAAGCAGGTCAGCAGAGATGCGTTTGTTTTTGCAAATCTTTTCTTTACTGTCATCACTCCTCACAATAAAATGATCTTACTTTCTACAGGTGCATATTCACCAATGTTCAATTTCATATTTCTTTGACAATGTGATTGCCCATTCCAAACTGTCTTTTCAAATTTACTACCATTTATAAAAGAAAGGGACAATTATCTCTCATAAATTTGCCACTATTAATGATGCATTTTTAAAATTACTTTCTTGATGTTTATGAAATAAACATGGTCCCCCTTGTAGCTCGACCGTGGAAAATAATGTGTTTTTTATTTTCATTGATATAAAGATTTTGGATTCACAACAATGCTGGCCTTATTAAATTTATAACCAGTGATGGAAAGAATACTTTATAAATATATTGAGTTACAGAATACTTGTATATTTTATTTAATGTATTATGATACATGGTCCAATCAGAGTATTGTATTCTGGATTCTTAAAATACTGTTACATCGAGTTGCATTTAAATTATAGTGTAAAAATGAGCATAGGATAAAAAACAGCTTTATGTTTGTTTCTCTGTTGCATTTCCTATCACTCACTGGAGAAGGAAAAATCACACATGCCTTCACCACAAAAGCTCTGTTGTCTATTTTTCTCACTCATTATGTAGTTTGAAGCATAAATAACAGAATACAGTCACTCAAAATTTGTATTCAGCATAGGTATTCTCGATACATATATTCAATTACTTCCCAACACTGTTTAGAATCCTGATACTGAGTTGTGGAGGACCTTCCCTGTTCTCCATCAGTTTTGTCTGATGTGTGCAGGTCAGTTGTGGGGACAATGACCACCTGAAAGAGGAAGACCACAGCGGTTGTAGCGGTATGAAATCATTTCCTGCTTTAGTCTGAATATAGTAATGATTGGGAACAAAGGGGATGTTATGGCCAACTACAGGGGCTCCACACACAATGGGGAACAGCCCTGCATGTTTAGGAGATGACGACAGGCATTGTACCTTTTCAATCACCTATGGTCTTTCAGTTATCTAAATGCTCTATGTAGCATGCCATGAGATAAGGAAATAACCTTTTTGGACAACGCAATGCATGTAAACAAATAATTTGTTATTGTACTCTACATCCAAGGTCTTTTCCCAAACTTGTCACTCGGTCACACATAGTTCAAAATCCAAGGTTTAACATTTCATTTTACTGCAATTGCAATTTTGCTTTAAGTGCTGAATTGTTAACTACAGTGAGCTAAACCTTTAGACATTTAAGGCACAGTATGTAAGTTTCCTAGAGGTGGCACATCATCTGCATGATTCCCTGGAAATGAAAAATGTAAATCATACTTTGAAACGGTCTCGATGGAAATGGGCAGATAGATCAGACCGGAAGAGTCAGATCTGTGGAGATCTACGCGCACTTCACCAAGCGGGCAGTTTTTCAGTGCAAATAAAGAAAACCAAGCTTTTATTTATTTTATTGACCAAAAAAGTTACATACTCATGGCTTTAAGTCAGCAGGTGTTGATCCAATTGAAAACAGACCTGTTTAAAGTTACAATAATAGTGTCTAGCACCGATCATGCATAAACATGAAATTCTCATGTTAATTCACTGGCCAATTGTTTCCATTCCATCGCCTCATGCCCAGGCACAGCGCTGAAAAGTTATTTCCCAGTGCCATCTAGTGGTAAAAACGTGGGGAAAAGTCTTTATTTGTGTTTTAAATAGCCTAATAATGGCTAAATTGAATGAGGCTAAAATGGGCTTTACGCCTACGCTAAGGCCTACGTACATGTGTCAGGCGTCCCAGGCAATGACGGACGTTTCTTTACTGGTCAGCAGAGGCGGCTGGTCTGTAGAGGGCACAAGTGCGCCGTACTCCCTAATTTGACCTAGAATAAAAATAAAAAATATGATAATATAAAAAATAAAATAAAACAAATTAAGGTAGTCGTTATTTTGTATTAGGCTATGTGTTTAATATTTTGTTTGAACGTGTATCTACATAGACGTATTTTTCACGTTAAATGTGCTCATATCACTTTATGAGAGTTATGTGTTTGGCATTTGAGTGCGCTGGGTTGGAGCGACTTAATAGCTGTTATGTTAAAAAGAAAAAAAAAAAAATTGATGTACTGATATTCTATTATTATATTATACATCTTAAACATCTTGTGTAAGTGCACTCAGTACAAAGACTATTAAAAAGTTAACCCTCTCCAGGCAGGTGTTGCAGATTTGCAACAGCTAAATTCCAATTACCTACTTACTCTAAATCCATATTTTATGAGCTATTTTTTACTCAGGAGCCTTTTCTCCCATCCATGCTGATAAACGTGGACGATGCAGACTGTGCAAGAATGGCTACACAAAAACAGCCTGCCAGAAGTGCAAAATACTTTTTTTGTTTACAAAGGATAAAAAAGTCAGGATTGTATATTACTACCCCATATTATAATTTTCCCCAAATATCAGATTTTTCCTGATACTAAAAATTAATTTGAGCCTGAGAGGGTTAAAAAAGATTATCTGAATATCACAACACGTTTAACAAATGACATGACAAAAAAAAAAAACAAGACAGGCTACCAGACAGGTTACCATAGCAATGGGGTCTAGATCAGCTGACCGAGGTAGGACAGGTTTATGACTTTTCAGAAAAAAAATATATATATATATAATTAAATAGCCTATTCCATAAAACAATCAAATGGGCTTTAGTAAAGAAACCCTTCATTCTGTTGTTTTCAACTTATTTAAAATAAGGGACTGAGAGTCAAAAGTGCAATCAAAGGCAATTAAAATTTATTTGAAATTTTAAAAAAAAATAAAAATAAAAATCTGGTCACAGTCATCAAAAAGACACCTGGCTCTGGGTCACTGCTCTGGGCGATGCAGGGTACTTTGTTCTTTGGTTTTTCTCTCTAAAACTCAGTCAAGTCAAAAATTCAAAGGTATAGCACGGTCATCAGGTTTCCCCACATAATTTTGTTTGAGAAACTTTTTTTTCTTTTTAAATTCTACACACATTACACTTTTTATTCAACATTACAATATTTACAGATTTACAGAATAGCTTACAGATGTAGGCCTACTTTTTATTCTAGCAACAGGAGGCATTTTGGTAATGACTGACTAAATCAAACCTATAAATATACCTTTTAACGTGAGTGTGTGAGTATTTTATGGCAGGTCCTGTACCATCCTTATATCCTTTTATAATCCACCTTTTTCAGTGAGCCATCACTTAAAAGACATCCACAGAGTGAAAAAGATTTACTTTCAACGAAAGCATCATTATCATTTGAAACTCATCACATCATCGCTTTATTCATTTCAATCCACTTTGCACATTGCATAAATGTGAATCAGAGCACGGAGTAACTACGCCCCCAGTAGCAGCTTCATTCATCCAACATTTCCAAACGAACAGCAATTTATTATTGCAATAATGATTCCGTAACCACAAACAAGGCTCACCTGGACTCCTACATGCTGTTTGGTGTGCTGATGGTGGTCTGGGCCCCACTGCACTTTTGGCGCGTTTTCCTGAATCCCGCAGGTCCTGCGCTTCCACACCGCCTTTTCTTTCTTTGTTGGCTAAAAAGGGTGCGCTGCCGTGAGAGGTGCTCCCTCTGACATAAAGCAGCGTTTGAAGTGTTATCAAGAGTAACTTTAGTGAAGCTGTCAACATAGAAAACGAGTTGGCTCGGCTCCCCGGTACTAGGTCATCTGGTCACAGGTACCTTACCTGTACAGGTGAGCGCCATTTTTAAAAGAACCCAGCATACATCTGTGCTCACGTGACCCACGCCCACCTGGCAGGAATCACCATGACAGCTATCCCAAGGTATCTCTTTTTTTCATATACAGAAACAGGTAAAAACAATTTATTAAAAAATCTGACGCGTAACACGCCTTCACCTGATGGAAACTGTATTGTGTTGGATAACATTTCCAAATAAAGTGTACCTTAAAATATCTTAAATAACTTATGTTTCAATGTATGGCAAATATTGTATCTGGAAATGTTCCGAAGTACTGTTTGGACTATCCATTAAAATAAAATATATTTTAAAAAATTTATAAATTACACTGTGTTGCTTTAAATAAAGAAATAATGTAAAATACTGTTGTTGTCTGGCCAGGCTCTGATGTTACTTGCATACAGCTGAATAATTTTCATTTTCCAAAACACATTTGCCTTTTCACATTTTATGATATTCTGAAACAAACCCCAATTTCCTTATTAAAGTCACATCATGTCCCACTTCACTTTTGCCTTTATTATTTTAAAGGACAAAAATGTACCAGCACAGTGTGATTTTTTTTTCATGTGGATAGGATTATAAGTGAACAGTGATGGAGAGAGTTGATGTTGGCTGTACCATTGATGTGAAGCACGGACTAGCGGCGTCACTGATGTAAACCCCGTTCTGAGGAACAGAGGCACAAACCAGCATTCTCCCATCAGCCGAGGAGGAGCAGAAGGTGAGGAGGCCGGGCTGACGACACTTCCACTGGGAAAGAGGGAGAGAAACACAGGTATAACATTTACGGAATATATGTCAATTATGGAGAAGATTGGATGTAAACTAATGTTCAGGGATCCAACAGATTTGACTCTGAAATTGCAAGAATAATGTACAGGTCAGATCAAAATAAAATGATCAAAACATTTTAACGTATCAATTTCTTGTCATGATGGTCTCTTCCTGGTTTGTTTTAGTTACTGACAACTATGCCTTCATTTACCATTAAAAGGATAATGGATAAAAGAATAGCAATATTCCCGCATTCATCCATTTTATTCTGGGATTAATTTTATATATTAACTCACCACGTAGTTAACATTCAGTAGTCACCACACATTTTTTTCTGAATGTGATGTTAGGGTGACCAGATTTTCAAAATTCCAAATTGGGACACACCCGGGTTGGGATAGTCGGTATAAATAAAATTGTCAAAAGAGCTTGTAACATTGTGCATTCTCGTGTCAGTCATAATCTGAGGGACTTCTGTCATGTCGTTTGCAAACATGGTTTTCTGTATTTTGGCAAAACAAATAACAATTTATGCTCCTGTTGGCTGGGATCAGATTGGTCAAATATTGTGATAGTCCTGTTTTAGTCCTGGTTTAGACCTGATGTAGTCCTGGTTTAATCTTAGGTTAGTCCTGGTATAGACTTGGGTTAGATCAAATTGGTCAAAAATAGGGACACCTGGGACATTTCTTGTATAAAACTGGGACAAATCACTGCTTTTGTACAAATCTAATGGGACAGGGGACACAGGGCTCAAAACTAGAGCTGTCCCGCGTAAATAGGGACGTCTGGTCACCCTAGTTTACGGGGAAAATGGGACATTTCCAGGACCAGTGGTGTTGGCAGTCACTGTTGAACTCTTTAAGAGTTCACATGAGGAGTGCATGAAACTTTGTGTTCTTATGATAACATCACAACTGGAGGACAGATCCGTATTTGATTCCAGACTCTTCTGCATTAAAACAGGATATAAGAGTGCATGATCATGCAATAGATTTTTAAGTAAACATGATTCATTCAGTTGAAATTCACCTGTTGGTGTCTGAGATCATGGCACACTCTTATGGTTCCTTCATGGCCTCCAGTGAAATCTCAGACAGGATGACAGCTCTCTACCTCCTGTAAAAACACTTCATTATAAAAGGCATCATCAATTGCAATAAGATATTTTATCTATGTTATGTTAGTAAAAATCAGGGGTTCTGAGTTCAGTACCCAGAGGCGAGTGGTGCAGTCAGAGGAGCAGCTCAAGAAGTGTGTCACTGAGGCAGAAGCGAGCGGCTGTGATGGTGTCTGTGTGAGCCGAGTGTCTTCACTGGGACCTGAATGACAAAAACAAATAGACTATATATTACAGAAGTGTCAATGAACGTCTGATTTTGAAGAATTTGCTTAAGGTGTTGACGAAATCCCAGGCCAAAACTATATAGCCTGTATCTTTGTAACTTTAACAACACACTAAATTTCACCTAGCCTTAAAAACCACATCTAGCATACACCTGATCAGAACATCAAATTAAGTAATTACTTATTTTTAACCTTGCCTCATAACTTTTTATCAGACATTTACTTATTTTTAGCAGTGCCTCAAAACATTTATCCAAATTCAGCATTGCATCAAACATTGTAGATATTTACTTATTTTTAGCAGTGCCTCAAAACATTCATCCAAATTCAGCATTGCATCAAACATTGCATCAAAATATTGCATCAGAAAAATCCCCAACATTGCATTTTGTCAGATAACTCACCTATGATGCCTGGACTTGCTCGTAGTAGGAATATATATTAAAGGGAGACTCAACAAAAGATTTGCCTTTGTCTTATTTTTCGGCTTTGTATTAAGATTTTAATGTGCCATTCATGTGGCTGAGACCACAGGCTAGTTGTCGTGCAAAAGTTTGCTTGCTCGAGGGTAACTTAATAACTTCATCTGAATATCAAGAACCTCTCAATGAAACTAGCACCAAAACCTTCACTTTCTCTTCAGCCGATCTGGGTGAGTCCAGCTGAGGCCGGGGAGGGGTTCACAACAGGTGTGTTAAATTTTCTGGACTGGAGTCCGCCACCTGCTGAATAGAGACATTATTACGTTGCATTTGGTGACAAAATACCTTTAAAAACATTGATTCTAACTGAGCGGGCTCGCTTGGCCTTATTTTCTCCATGGAGACTGATGATCTTCTGCCAGAAAAAGTTACTTTAAGGGATTTTTCATTTTATGCCAAATTTACTAAACTAAAAAACGAAAAATACACTACCACAAGTTTATTATGTAAATAAGGCCGTTTAAAGAAAATTAACTGAAACCAGTTTTATTCTTTGTTATTATGGTCCAGTAGCAAAATTGCAATCAGTTATTTTCATCGATTTTAAAATTCGTCGAACGTAAAAATACGTTTCGTAAAAAACACGAAATGCATCTGTATTTTAAACTATTATTTTAAATACGTATATGTCAAACATGTGGAGTAATTTCTAAATGGATTTTTCGAGATTCTCCAGAGCCCGTGCAAAGATAACTTTTATGTCGAAAGCGCCGCTGCTGCCACCTTTGGACTGAGCACGCACTCGCGCGGCACGGCGCTGACGGTCCTTCCGTACAGGAGTCTTGGATACCAGATGTGTGCACGATTTGCCCGAAGTAGACTCCACTAACAAAAATCGAGACGAAAGAAAATGAAGAACAAACGGAAACATGCCGTACTGTTGTGGATGCTGGTGTGCTCTGGCTTGGCAGAAGCTATTGAGCCCATAAGTACCAGCATAGCCGTGGGCATGGCAGCGGCTCTCACTGGTTTTTTGGCCAGCTACCCCAATATTCTCTACTATTTCCATGAATGCTGTCGACCAGAGTGGATTTCTTTCAACAAAACAGGTTTGTTTTCACAAATAAGAGCTGTTGCCAGTACCACCAAGGAGTACTAGGCTGCGTGTTTTATAACTCCCGTGTGACCTTACTTACGCACAGTGAGCTGCGTTATAAAATAAGTTGTTTATTTGGTGTAATCCCTGTTTACAGCCATTTAGACGTAACATTTGTAAAGTGAAATACTCCGACAGCTAAACTAGCCAAACTCAGGTGTGTCACGTGACCGACTGATGTCAGCAATACGGAAGTTTTGCCTTGGCGGTTAGCTTACTTGGTTAGGTTAGCATTAGCTAGCAACTGTAGCGGTATATCGTAATAATATATGTCTGAACAACTTGAGTCCGATGTTACACCTTCACGACGATGAAAATAGAACGTATATATCTACTCTTTTACGGTATTTCGTTTATCAGTGCACACGTAAACGCGTTTGACCCAATCACAACAACATTAGCAGTGGGGATTGGTGCTACACTTGGGTCTATTTTTAAATACTTTCAGGAACATTGCTCTTCTAAATGGATTTCCTTCAATTCTACGGGTAAGAAAGTCACAAACTGACCCATGAAACAAGAAAACTGCTCGTTTTGTATGCAGAGTTAGTTGTTTTAGTAAATGTTGCATCTTTTTGTTTTGCTCTTGTAACTGTGGTTTTATTCATCCATCACACCAATTAGTGCTATTTTTGTTTTGTTTTGTTTTGACGTTATTTTGTAGGTCTTGAGGTGGACCTAGAAAACAAACTGTTTGGTCAGCATATTGCATCGCGAATCATCTCAAAAGCTGTAAATGGGTTCATGAATAACGACAACCCAAAGAAGCCCCTGGTTCTCTCGCTGCACGGATGGACTGGGACGGGAAAGAACTTTGTCAGTAAAATGATTGCAGAAAATATCTACAAGGAGGGAATGCACAGCAGTTTTGTGCACGTTTTCACATCTGAACTGCATTTCCCACACGCCAGTCAAATTGAGATTTACAAGGTGCGCTAAATGGCATTATTTCTATCCAAGTTTGATAAAAGATTAACTCTGATTTGTTTCACCTTTAGTCGCAGCTACAGCAATGGATCAAAGGCAATGTCACCAACTGTGCCCAGTCCATGTTTATTTTTGATGAGATGGATAAAATGCACCCCGGTTTAATTGACAGCATTAAGCCTTACCTGGATTATTATGACAAACTGGATGGAGTGTCCTACCGAAAAGCTATCTTTATCTTTCTCAGGTGTGTAGTTTAATGCGATCTCGATTGTTGGGAATGCAGTTTGTCACTTGGGTTTCCCTGTAATGTGGGAGGTCACCAGTTCATCCCAATAACCCAGTTGATGAAATCAGTCATAATATGAAAACATGACATAATACCTGTTCTCATTTTATAGCAATGCTGGCGGGGAGAGCATAATACAGACAGCCTTAGATTTCTGGAAGGCTGGTCGTGACAGAGAAGAGATTGGGCTTAGTGATGTAGAAACTGCGCTCTCTTTGTCTGTGTTTAATAACAAGAAAAGTAAGTAATCTGGCTTTTATTGTTGTAAATGACAATACTTTTAGATCATACTAACATGATCTTTTTCTTCAACCAGGTGGCCTGTGGCATACAAGTTTGATTGACAAGAACTTGGTGGATTTCTTTGTTCCTTTTCTTCCATTGGAATACAAACACGTGGTTCAGTGCGCCTTGGCAGAGATGGAAGCCAGAGATCTAGAACCAGACATGTCTATCGCAGACCAAGTGGCTAGAGATTTAATTTACTTTCCCAAGTCTGAGAGAGTGTTCTCAGTCACAGGCTGCAAGACAATAATTAGTAAACTGGACTACTATGTGTGAGTGTCTGGGGGATGCCAAAAGTCACTACATGCACTTTTAAATAGGAGAGGCTTTCTGCCACAGCATCACAAGCCAGTGGACACTTCTGTTCATTGTGTTGAGAACAACGGGTTTTTACTGAACCTTTTTCTTAAGTCTTAGAGCTGATGAAAGAGCACAGTGGCTCATTTTACAGGATCTGTATCTGGGTTACAGTTTCTTAAAGTCTTGTAGACAGCCTTGTTTTTACTGTTATACATTTTTGGTTTACTGGAGAAAAAAACCCTGCATTGTTAAAATTTTTAATCTACTGAATAGTTTTTCGCCAACTACTGACTTGTGGTTGTAACAGAAAATTGTTTATCATTTTGTGTAATAATTTAAATGTGATTGGAGATGAATTACATTTTAAAGCTGATATTTTGTGACAAAATTGTTGATTTTAAAACAGTGGTCTGCATTTTACTCTTCTACACTTGTACATTGTCTTTTTGATACAATTGTCATGTATGTAAAATGCTATTGGCCTTTTATACCATTTTATACAAGAGGGGCCTTGAGAAATAAAAACTATTTTGTGGATGTTAATGTGAACAAGAACCTGTGATGTCCACAAATGAAAATAACATTAAAAAAGTTAACTGTAAACGTTTGATTCTTGATTAAATAAGATTTTTACTATATGGCATTTTATCCTATTAAATGGCTTCACATTCTTGGTTAAAAAAAAAACTCCACAGCAGAAGACCCTGAGCTGCCCTGGCTTCAAATTGAGGACCTTCTTGCTGTGAGGAAAGAGCACTAACCACTGTGCAAAGTGAATTCAGTTTACAGTGATAACAGATCAGTCTGACCTCCTGTCAAGAGAATTCTGAGCTGCTACTGCAAAGCTAAGACTAGTATGTTCACATGCTTCTCATGCAAAAAATAGGACATTAAAGATACCACAAATGCCTGTGTGAATAAATTTTAATAAAATATTAATCACATTTAAGTAATTTTGTGTGTTTCAAACTTCCTCTTAAAAAGACCAACAGTTTGTAAACATGAACAGCCAGTCAACCACAAACACCGATTTTATCTCATGAGTTGTTACAGTCTTTGAGGTGGCAATGGTTACGGTTAGACCAGCAGAACTGCATTAATGCAGCCGTCATTCTCAGGGTTATTCGTCACCTGGGCAAATTTACCTAAAAAAATGAAAAGATTACTGAAGCACAATATAACAGAATCAATGAGATTTTATGTCCATAGTATTTATAACAAAATACATGCTTAGACTGTTATTGCGTTATGAAAATGGAAGATTTTCACATTTCTTTTAATATGAACTTGCATGAGAATAAACTCACCCCAGACCACTTTCCCTCCTTGTGTTACTAATCCCAGCTCGCTGACATTAACCTCTATGACTGTTCCTTTTGTGATCACTCCCAGAGATGTGTAGAGAGGAGACGAGGGGTTCTTCTTTACACCAAGAATGGGAAGGCAGAATGTGGCTTTCAGCTCTGGATGTGTAACGTGAGCCTTTTTAAAGCGCAGACCCTACAATGACGAATGAGAGTGTAAATATCAAATATGCTGATTTCTTTTCTGTCGCAGTTAAATATATAAAATCTTACCATAGGTCTAATAAAACGTTCGTATTTTGGTGGTTTACGTGTGAATCCATCACCAACAAAACACACTTTGGTGACCATTCTCTTCCATGCCTTCTTCTGTCTTTTTCCAGTTTTGATGACTTTGAGAACTTCTGTTTCTCCCTGTGCTCGTACTTTGGGCAAAGGCACTTCCCATTTGCCCTAAAAAGGTTTAAAACAACAGTTCAAGTTCACAAAAATGATGAGAAATGATAATAATAGTATGTACTCACAGCTTTTTCTTTTCTTTTCTGTTTGATCATGTTGGAAAGAACTTTAGCACGAGACTGTCCCTCTCTGTCAAGGAGGTAGGCGGGTACAGCACCTTCTGGAGTCTTGTCATCATTTTTCTGCTTTGTCTTCCTCTGTTCATGCATTTTGATGCTAAAAAATATGATGTCAGTCAAGGAAAGATAGGTTAGGTTAATGCCTAGGGAATATATTGATTTTTTTTCTTTCTTTTTTTTTAACATACGTTTTCTTCATCTGGATCTTCTCTGCATGCCTCTGTTTGTGGTACAGTTTGGCCTTCAGACCTATAAGCTTCCTGGCTTTATGGGATCTTTCATGGGCTTCACGGCTCTCCTTCTTTCGTTTCCTCTCATGGTGGTCAAGGCGGTAACCGTGTCGTTTGCGGTGCAACTCAATGTGCTCATTCTGCGGCTGTAAAAAGGAAAATAATTAAGTCACTACACATCTGCATCATCAAAAGCGCTTCTGCCCTGTTTTTCTGTGTTGAGAACAAGCTTTATCATAAATATTACTACTGAACCTTTTTCTTAAGTCTTAGAGTTGAAAGAGCACAGTGGTTCATTTAAAAGGATCTGAATCTGGGGGGGATTTTACTCTTCTACACTTATACATTCTTTATGATACATTTTTCACGCATGTAAAATGTAAAAAGGAAAATAATAATGTACAATTTCAAGCTGTATGTACAAGGGAGATACAACAGCAAACAAACTAAACAGACAGGAATTAAATACACAAAACACAAAAATTTGATTATAACGTTTTGCTGCATTTACTAAAACTAATGAACAAAGGTGGGACCATCAAGTCATTGTTTTGCAAGTCTCAAGTAACTCTCAATTCTTTGACCTCAAGTCCGAGTCAAGTCCCAAGTCAAATACAGGAAAGACCAAGTTGAGTCTCAAGTCACTGGCCCTTAAGTCCCAGTCAAACCCAAGTCGTCTGCTTTGAGCTTCAAGTAATTTAAAATCTTTAAACCAAAATACCAAATATAGCTTAGATTTTTGCAATTTATGACTTTTAAGCTAAATTGTACTTAAAAATTATATTTATATATTGCTGTAGTATATTTGATGATACCATCTCACAGTACTTCAGTTCCATCCAAAGTAACAAACAGAAGTGGAATTTTTTTAGGAGAAGCATCAAGTCTTCTTAAGTAACAGACCTCAAGTTCGAGTCAAGTTCCCAGTAATAGACTCTCAGGTCCAAGTCGAGTCCAAAGTCTTAGACCATTTTATCAAGTCAAGTCTCAAGTCCTAAAAATAGTGACTCAAGTCTGACTCGAGTCCAAGTTACGACTTGCAAGTCCCCACATCTGCTAATGAAGATAATAAGACTACGTTTTATGACATGGATCATACCCAAGTAACAATAGGAGTAACAAGGATAAAAAAAAAAAAAACTTCAATATCTAATAATAATTGTTTTGCCAGTTATTTGCAACCCACGGCATGAAGTGTCAATGTAAACAAGAAAGTTAGCACATTCAACAAATCACACAAAACGCAGCACGTGAGCCACGCTAAAAGCAAGATGCTAACAACTTTAAACCGTTCCAGTTGTTGTATATGTAAATAAAACAGTAAAAATCTCACCATTTTGTCTTTAACTTGATATTACACGTTTTTCTTGTCTGTTTTTTTTGGTTGCACTGGTGGATAAAGGCGTAGTTTTATGAATTTTCGTAGGGGCTTGGGCTATTCAGATGTTTTTTTTCCAAGGCCAACACTTTAGAGGAAGTACGTCATTGCAGGGAAGGAAGTTCCTCTGTAATATATAAATAATATAGAAATACCATGAAAAATAATGATTACAACAATAAAAAAAATCATCACAGTTTCAGCTATGCATTTTGGATAACACATCACAAAGTCACACTGTAAGGATAATCAATTTATTTTACTAAATACGTTTGTGGTGGAACCAATCTCTGGGGGTGTATTTTGAAGCAGGACCATATGAACACGTGACTATTTGTCTTTTACAACAATATGCACTTAATGCGCTTATTTTCTAATAATTACTTTATTCTGACAAACAGTCTTATGGTGACTATGGTATGGTATTAACGTTCAACTTGTGAGTGTCTTCCCAAAATGTCTTTTATTTAGCTAAATACAGAGTGAACTAGGACCATTTCGACAAATAGCAAAATGATTTTGGTAAGCATTACTCTAAACAAACCTTGCACTGTGCTACTGTGCTTAGTTTTATTTAACAGCTTTTAATGTATCACAGGCAAAGTATCTTTTTACTGCTGGATCTCAGCATAGATTCAGAGTGATCTGGTTTATCAGAAGACATTACAGCTTTCTTTCTGGTGAGTATTGATATCTGCTGTGCTATTTTTTCTCCATAAACTACATGTGTTTTTTTTTTTGTTTTGTTTTTTTTACAATTGTTATGTTATAATCCTAGCTAACCCTCTATGGTATTTTTCTCTAATAGATGATGTTAAATCTGTGAGGACTGTTGTCTCCCCAGACATATCCAAGTGAGAACAAAGTCCATGAATAAAAAACAAATACTTTTTTTTTAAATACGTGTGTTGTTTGGCAGGATCAGAAATATCGGCATTATGGCTCATATTGATGCCGGCAAGACTACCACAACAGAGAGAATGCTTTTTTACTCTGGATATATAAGAGCATTAGGGGGTGAGGCTATTTAAAATGCAGAACCAAATAGACATCTTACTTATAGAATATTACATATTTTTTGTTATTGCTTTCAGATGTAGATGATGGGGACACAGTTACAGATTTCATGGCCCAAGAACGTGAGCGAGGCATAACTATACAGTCCGCAGCTGTTACATTTGATTGGAAAACCCACAGAATAAATCTCATAGATACACCAGGTAGGCTTATTGTAAATCAATGCTTCTAAGTTGTAAATTATGTCTGCATGTTTTTACAGGACATGTTGACTTCACTCTGGAAGTAGAAAGGTCTCTTCGTGTCCTGGATGGGGCAGTTGCAGTGTTTGATGCCTCTGCTGGTGTTGAGGTTTGTTACTGCTACTGAGATTTTAGCATGTCTTAAGATTTCCATTTCACCATGTTAATTGTGTAGTCCACATCTCATAAAGTGTTGGTAATACAGGCCCAGACACTAACTGTGTGGAGACAAGCAGAGAAACATCATGTTCCCTGTATAGGTTTTCTAAATAAGATGGATAAACCTATGGCAAAGTAAGCAAAAAAAAAAAAAAAAGACAAGCTTATAGCATGACAACCTATTATATACTTCACTGCTGGACGATTAATTGCTTGTATTCTCATTACAGTTTAGATCTTTGCATTGAAAGTATTAGAGAAAAGATGCAAACTACACCAGTCCTTATACAGGTAGGCTTAAATAAACAAATACCTTTGCTTGTTCTTTATTTATATTAATCTACATTATATTTTATAGATCCCAGTTGGTTGTGGGAAGAGCTTTTCAGGCATTGTTGATTTATTAACTAATCAGAAACTAATATGGACAATAAAATCAAATGAAGATGACGGACGTTGTTACAAAATTCAGTCTTTAGACCAGTCAGATGAACCAGAGTTGGTGCAGGCTGCCAAAGAGGCCAGATGCAATTTAATTGAACAGGTAAACAAGACACAAATGCACAGATAACATTTTATAACTGCCATAATCATAGTCAGAATTATAATTCTACTTTAATATACAGGTTGCAGATTTAGATGATGAATTTGCTGAACTGTTGCTAACAGACTTCAGTGATAATTTTGATGCAGTTCCTTCCATTAAAGTAAGTTTTTGGATGCCACATAAACAGAAATGTACAGTTGTTTGGGACAATGGTTTGTTATTTCCTAGATTAAAGAAGCTTTGAGACGAGTGACACTTGCACGTAAAGGTGTTCCCATCCTCTGTGGAAGCTCTTTGAAAAACAAAGGTGTTCAACCTCTCCTAGATGCCATCATTGCATACTTGCCTAACCCCAGTGAACGCCACCATGACATCATGTAAATATACCTCAACCACATCTTGTAATGTTTTTATTATCTCTGCTTTTAGGCTGTTCACAATTAAGTTGTCTGTATTGTCTTCTTGCAGACAATGGTATAAAGATGACTTATGTGCGTTGGCTTTTAAAGTTATACATGACAAACAGCGGGGTCCTTTGGTGTTTGTCAGAATATACTCTGGGACTCTCAAAGCACAGACAGCTGTTCACAACATCAACAGGGACAGCATGTAAGCTTTTTGGATTTATATACTACATACTTATATTATAATATTATTATTGCAATTGGAAAGAATACAATACATTTAAAATGCATTTTGGCAGTGAGAGGATGAGCAGACTCCTAGTGCCATTTGCTGATCAATATGTGGAAATCCCTTCAATTATGGCAGGAAACATTGCTTTGACTGTTGGCCTTAAGCAGGTACCTCTTTCTTACATATTACACTGCTAATATTTTCAAATTTGCCTCTCAATCAAAATAATTCTTTAATATTCTGAATGTTTTAATTATCTATGTTTCTCACTTTAGACAGTCACGGGAGACACCATTGTTTCATCCAAGGCCTCAGCTGCAGCTGCTCTTCACCGAGCTCAAAACAAAACTGGGAAAACAGGAGACAGTGTAAAAGTTATTCTGTCTGGAGTGGAAGTGCCTGATCCTGTATTTTTCTGCACAATAGAGCCTCCTTCCATGGCCAAACAGGGAGGTTTGTGGTGTTAAGCTAATGTGTATTTTTATGCTATGCAAAATATTTAATTTAAATGCAATTTATGTTTCCTTTTCAAAGACTTGGAGAATGCACTTTGTTGCCTCCAGAGAGAAGACCCTAGTCTAAAAGTCCGGGTTGACCCGGATTCTGGGCAGGTAAAACCATCATTGGATTAACTTGAGCCTTTCTTAGTCAGTGCATCTGCTGCTGCCACTCACCTAATTATCATCTGCTTTCAATCCATAGACCATTTTATGTGGGATGGGAGAGTTACACATTGAGATAATCCATGACAGAATAAGAAGAGAGTATGGCATTGAAACTCACCTTGGCCCTTTACAAGTGGCTTACCGAGAGACAATTATCCAAAAGGCCAAAACCACAGGTATTATAAACCATATTGGAGCTTCTTTTAAATTGATCATTATATTTTAACACAAAACATTGACATTGTTTGTGGTCTAGATAACCTGGACAGAATAATAGGAGATCGAAGACATTTTGTGACAGTGGAGCTCACTGTAGGACCAACAGATGATATTGGCACCTCTAGTCAATTTAAAATTCAAAAAGAATTACACAATCAACTCACTCCTGATTTTAAAGAAGCAGTTGAAAATGGAGTTTATAGTTCATATCTTCAAGGTCAAAGAATTTAAATAGAATTTAATAATAAATGTTGTGTTTACTGTTAATAATTTAATATTTTCTTTTATTACTTTGATGTTTCACGCAGGTCCCCTGCTAGGTTATCCAGTGCAAGGCGTAAACACTGAAATTGAAAGTATCAATTTAGAGCCAGGAACATCTCCAGCCATGGTGTCAGCATGTGTATCTCGCTGCTTGCAAAAGGTGATTGACTTACACAGGCCCTGATGTTACAAATTATTAACATAAGTTCATTACCCTTTTTAACATTGTCAGGCCATGAAAGCTGCAGGGCCACAGGTGCTTGAGCCAGTCATGTCTCTGGAGGTTACAGTAGGAGAGGATTACCTGAGCTTTGTGCTTGGAGACCTTGCCCAAAGAAGAGGAACAGTCCGTGACATCCAAAGCCGTCATAACAACAAAGTGCTTATAGCAACGGTCCCCCTGGCTGAAATGATGGTTGGTTTCAATATAACCAACAATCATTATTCCGATGGAAAAATGAATAACCAAGATCTTTGTTTCACTACAGGGTTATTCAACAATCCTGCGTTCATTAACATCTGGAACTGCAACTTTTTCTCTTGAGCTGGACACTTACGAAGCCATGAACCCACAAGATCAAAACATCTTACTCAAAAGAGTGGCTGGTCTGCTCTGATTACTACAGTATATCTGATCAAGAAATAAATGTACTTTTTCTTATTGTGTTGTGCGCTTTTATTTTGAATACAAATATTTTTGTAAAATCAAACACTTAAAAATGTAAAATAAGACAAAGTGCAATCAAGAAGTCAGAGTACTCAGAGTAGTATGATCAACCTATTGTACAGATAATGTACAATAACCCGAAAAAATTGCAAAATTTATGAAGTTATTTGAGCATTCAGAATATACAAATCAATAAAAATGCATTTCCCTTTAAGATGAGAGTCCAGTAGGTTCTTTTCTTAAATCCCTTTGTACTCATGAGGGCAATAACTGGTAAATAGTGGTTCTGCTGGGATTCCACGCCTTTGATGAAAAAGATAATGATAATACATATTTTTACTTGGGCACAATGCTACAATTTGTAAAGCTATAGTATATACAGTTAAAATACTCACTCCACCATACGACAACGATGGCTTGACAGTCTGCTATAAGCATCGTTCAGGTCTCTCACATCTTTTGCACTCCACAGACGCTCAGCCACAGCACTAGCACGAGGCCTACAGTCCAAGTAGTTAGAAGCAATTATGAAATGTCCCCAGAAAAAGTTACACAATATCGTTTTAAAAACATACCAGAGTCTTGGTGTCAGGTTGGTGCCATCTACATACTCGCCCCATAGACAGGCTTCTCCACCAATCACAAGCTCCTTTTGCTTATCAGTTCCTGTATTTAAACAACAAACATTTATAAAAATTACCAGTAACAATGATCTTGCGATGCTAAGCAGAAATCAAAAGTTCAACAGGCTTACTCATATTTGCACAGAAATAAGACTGAGGATTGAAGGAGAAACACAACAAAACTAAACTAAATAAAGGATGGATTGAAACTTTATAAGAAACCAAATATGAGTAAATAGCCACATGCACATTAGTCATCAGCAATAAACCAACCCTGAAAATCTTGAGGGTCAGCCTTGTAATGGGTATGCCAGTCCTGGCCATAGGAGATATAATTCAGGTACCATGGAGTGGACAGCAAGGTGTGGTAACCAGCTGATGTAATTTGCGCCATCTCATTCTGGTATTGCTGTTGGTTTCCTTTCCAAACGTGGATAATTGTGTCTGGTTTTAGCTATAAATGTACATACATAATACATAAAACAATAATAATAATTTAATTAATGATATTTTAAATTTAATCTTACATAAATCCTAAGAGTTAAACCCCATATGGCTATCAAATTATCAAACTGTTCATGAAATCTAGACTGTTAATATGTTGGAAATTAATCAAAACACAGGGGCAATTTAGAACAACACCAGACACCCCGCGCCCACGATGGTGCTCATGTTTCATACTGTGCAGTTAGGAGCAAGCCTGCTGAGCAAAAGTGTTGTGTTCCAAATTTAACTAATGGATATGTAAAGATGTTCAAAACTGACCGTCAAAGTTTAATGGCTCAACTTTGTAGTAGTTCTGCCAGTCCTGGCCGTAGCTAATGTAATCTAAGTACCATGGGGCGGAGAGGATGGTGGTGTATCCAGCTGCTGTCACTTTGTGCATTTCTTCCTGCTGCCCGTTGCCCATCCAAACATGCACTACAGTGTCTGGCTTTATCTAGAATAGTTACAGTCCATCCTAATGCAGTTAGTGTTGAAATTTAGCAAGCAATGTATCAAGTAGCTAGTAGCTAATTACCCACACCCACCCACAAACTGAGAAAGTTTTACTAAAATGTTACCTTCACACCATTATCAAACACCTCTTGCCAGATCATGTAGCCTTTATTGGTCTGGCCAACAATATCCAAAAGTCTATCAAAAAAGGATTTTACTTTTAGCAGTGACAAATGTGCAACTCTTTATGTCCTGATGCAAAACCAACCTTTGAATATAAAAGGACTCCAGCTTTGTGAAGTCTTCTCCAAAACCTTGCTGCTTCATAAAAGCCTGAATGTCTGGGTTGGACTTCCTGCAATGTAAAATCAGATTAGCATAGTTACCATTTAGTATCATGCTAAAGCTCTAGATCTAGATCTAGATTTGGAGACTGAACTGTCTCACCAGCAGGTAAAATCCACCTCATCACCTCCGAGATGCACATAGGTATCAGGAAACACAGAGCTGATTTCTTTGAAGAACTGTGTCATGAAATCATAAGTAGTGTTCACAATGGGGTTGACAGGTCCAAAGGTGCCAGACGGAGAAGAGCCAGAGTAACAAGGTGTAAGAAGATCTGGCTGACCTAAAAAGACATTTTTGTAAACAGATTGCAATAACAATTGACACTTTCATTTATGATATAATTACCTCTTCCCCAAGAAAGTGTGTGCCCTGGAGTGTCAAACTCTGGGATGACACGAATTCCCCTGAGACGGGCAAACTCAATGATCATCTTCACATCAGCTGGGGTGTACACGTGTGTGTAAGGATGGTAAGCTCCCTAAACAAAAGCATGGTTAAAGTAGTACTGTGGGGGCAAAAAAGTTAATTATTTCATATGTCAATCAAAATTAACTAATGCATCATACCTTCTGACTTAGTTGAGGGAAGGTCTTGCTTATGTAAGGGAAGGAAGGGTCATCTACTATATGCCAGTGAAAGACATTGAATTTGTTCATTGCCATTGTTTCCTAAAATTAGACAATAAAGTTTATGATGTGCATTCCGAAATTTCTGGATAAACTGTGTTTATTTACCAGGTTGGCCAAGATGACTTTAATTGGTAAAAAGTGTCGTGACGTATCCAGCAGGATACCTCTGTGTGCAAATCTGGGGAAATCGCTGACTGTAGTCGCATTGATGTTCCTCTAAAAATAGTTAGACAGATAAGTGATATGTGAAAAACATAATGTATTGTGTTGAACCTTGTTAAATGTGCACTTACACTCCCAAATTCATCTTTAAACACCAACTGGCTGAATGTTTCTAAACCTGATGAATATAAAGCATGACAACAGCTGAAAATCTGGAACTGCTGCAAATTTTTACTTAACAGTAACAAAGGTTTGAGTCCTACCATGCAAAGCTCCCCAAACCTTTGGTGCCTTTAGCACAGCAACAGGTTGGTCCACGTTTAGTTCATCTGTAATTAGAAAGGAGTTATTTAAATTATGCTGTAATACATAGTTTTACAGAATGTTACTGGCACTGACATTTTAGAGTTTCTACGCTATTAGCCTTGAATTGCTGTGAGCTAACCTTGTTAGTGCTACTAACCTAATAGAGTTAATCTCTACTCTTCACTGGCAACAGAACCGTGTTATGTGTTCCTTTAATTAATGAGACAGTAACAGTAGCTTACACGATCAGTAGATAAGAATGAGGAAAGGACACTCACATGACTCGTCCGTAGACACACTGGGGTAAGCGTCGCACTCCGAGTCAGTTGACGTGATCCACACCTGCAGCTCCCCCAGCTCAGAGGCACCTGTGCGCCTGCTTTTACCTGGCCACTGCTTTTTGGAGCCCTCAAAAATGTAGTCAAAATACCTGTGCCAGGAGTGCACCGATTATTACTGTCCACCAAATTCAAAACACAGACAAATATTTTACTGTACGCACCTTCTATAGGCATTTTGCAGCAAACCACAACTTGCTCCAGCAGATGATTCTTTGGCGTCGACTATCCTAAAGCTGGCGCTGCTCAACTTGAATGAAACATCTGAGAAATTCACCTTTTGTGGAAGAGGCCAGAGAGAGCCATACTTCGAGTTCGCATTTACAAACTCAGTCTCCTCTTCAATGTTATTGAACTGGAGTCCTTGACTTGAATAAAAGGACAACAGAAGAGCGATAAATTGGAGAGAACAGCGCATGTTGATGGAGAGCACCAGAGTCACAAGACCACAGCACAGACGCGGAATCAAAAGCGAGGGGGGCGGGACTTCCCATGCGGAAGTCACTAAAACACACACAACAGCCAATCAAATATGACTGTTGTTTATGCATTTTATACATTTTAATTATATTTGGACTTTGACAGCATTTATCTGGGTTGTTTATGCTATCGCAACAGTTTAGCCAACTTTCAGTAATAGAATAGAAATGTTATGCTGTGGTGCAAATTGCTGTGTGTTGTTATAAACCAATGCCCATTTACCCAGATGTTAAAGGTCTTATATTACACTGAATTGACTCTTGTGAGCTTTTAGCCATGTTAGAATGCTGTTATCTCCCCCAAAACATAAATGGAGTTGTGTTTTGTTTCATTCACACATGTTTGAGTAATTCTTTATTCTTAGTTTGTCTACATGCTCAAAGCTGTAAATGCTCTTTTCCACCTGATGTCATGTAGTGGTAGTTTTCAAGTTAACAGTTACATTTTACCTTTAGTTCAGTAGAGATGGGCAATTCCAGGGCTGAAATTATCCAAATTATTCTAGTGAAGGTGTATGGAGTTTAAAAGCACAGTGGAGTACTTCCTATTACCAACTGACATCAGAAAGTGGAACAGGGCATTTTCTGCTTGAGCAAAGAACCTATCTTAAATATGCAGGGTTTGTGTAAAATGCATGAATGAAACAACTCCCAATATGTTTGTGATGAGGAAACAGCATGATAACAAAGGTCAGAAAATATTATGGGATTAATGCATTAAATTGAATTATTATTATATTTATTCTTAATACATCTTTGATTAATCTTTACTGGACACCTTAAAGATGTGTACCAAAAATCATAAATCTAGGTTACATTTACAGATGTTTTTGTTGTGTAACAATAATACTGTGAAGGAAAACACAATCTATTAAACAGACAGTAGGTTAGTAGGTTATAAGTTTCGCATCTACATCTAGCTCTGCAGTAGTTTTTTCCTAACCACCAAGACCGCTAGATGTCGCTTTTGTACCACGTTCGAGCGGCATCCTTGAGCTTGATAGTAATTACAAGGCGCATGTAGTCTATGATGTACTGGTTATTTGAAAACAAAGGTGTGTGTGAGGAAGATTCTTAAGTTGTTGCCTTTTGTAGACTATTCATAAGAGTTTAATAATTTAAATGATAAGATATATAATACAAAGAAAGTTCTCTCCAGGTCACACGAAAAGTAGTCTCTCTCTCTCTCCCTCTCTCTCCCTCTCTCTCTCTCTCTCTCTCTCTCTCTCTCTCTCTCTCCTCTCTCTCTCTCTCTCTCTCTCTCTCTCTCTCTCTCTCTCTCTCTCTCTCTCTCTCTCTCTCTCTCTCTCTCTCTCTCTCTCTCTCTCTCTCTCCTCTCTCTCTCTCTCTCTCTCTCTCTCTCTCTCTCTCTCTCTCTCTCTCTCTCTCTCTCTCTCTCTCTCTCTCTCTCTCTCTCTCTCTCTCTCTCTCTCTCTCTCTCTCCTCTCTCTCTCTCTCTCTCTCTCTCTCTCTCTCTCTCTCTCTCTCTCTCTCTCTCTCTCTCTCTCTCTCTCTCTCTCTCTCTCTCTCTCTCTCTCTCTCTCTCTCTCTCTCTCTCCTCTCTCTCCTCTCTCTCTCTCTCTCTCTCTCTCTCTCTCTCTCTCTCTCTCTCTCTCTCTCTCTCTCTCTCTCTCTCTCTCTCTCTCTCTCTCTCTCTCTCTCTCTCTCTCTCTCTCTCTCTCTCTCTCTCTCTCTCTCTCTCCTCTCTCTCTCTCTCTCTCTCTCTCTCTCTCTCTCTCTCTCTCTCTCTCTCTCTCTCCTCTCTCTTCTCTCCCTCTCTCTCTCTCTCTCCTCTCTCTCTCTCTCTCTCTCTCTCTCTCTCCTCTCTCTCTCTCTCTCGCTCTCTCTCTCTCTCCCTCTCTCTCTCTCTCTCTCCCTCTCTTTCTCTCCCTCTCTTTCTCTTCCTCTCTCCCTCTCTCTCTCTCTCTCTAGTGCCTGTTCCCTGCACGAGGTGACGAGGTGACTGCCCAGCTCCTCCTCCTCCTCGCTGTAAACACACCCAACGCGCTCTCTCACAGTTGAGACTCAGAGCGCTGCATGAGCACTCGCATATCCAGCGTCTCTGCTCCAGCGAGAATCATCGACAGATAAAGACTCCTGCTTATCATCTCTATCTTTGTTTATGTTAGCCCTTTCTTTGTGGAGCCTTTACCATAGACGCTTCTGTTAGGCTGCGTCTTCCAGTACCGAGCGGTCGTCTGGTGCGTTATCTGAAGAAGAAAACGACTCTGGAGCAATTGGACTGGTCATTACGCGGCGAGGAGTTGTCTGTCTGACTCCAGTGCGCTTCGGTTGCATCGTGGCTCTTTCACAACTGGCATGTTCGAGGGGGACTACGGGCACAGTTGAACTCTTCAGTTCACACAAAGAGGTAACTTAACATTGTGCTGTGAGATTTAGGCTATAGCAACAGGGCAGCGGCAGCCTGTGGTCCATCACCATATTAGCCCAGTGTGCAGCCATTTAAAAAGCCAACATTTATTGAAGACAGGTTAGTCTATTACCATGACATTTTCCCAGTGCCTTCTCCATTTGCGCGCGTGCATGCTTAAGATGCTTTAAATGGTTTAAGGGTGACATCAGGTGTGACAATCTTCTCTCAGCCTTATAAATAGACAGTCAGCCAGTAGCTTACAACCAGCTCACATAGGATGGTTTTGTGTGTTTGGCTTCACCATTCTTATCCCCAAGACTAATGCAGATGTTGACAATAACTGGTTCCTCCTGGTCCTCATCTCTCCCTTTGTTTCCATGCAGAGTAGTGCTTGTGTGATGGGAGGCTGTTGATGTGGTGTGTAGTGGTGCTGTTTACTTTGAACTTAATGGTAGACTGTGGACACCTGGCAATGATTTTAAGCAGATTACATCCAGACCATGCTCAGATCCAAGACTCATACAGTACAGGGAGCACGGAGTTTTATACAGTGTGAGTTATGCACTGACTGGCTCATTATAATCTAGCTCTTCATGACTGGTTATGGGGAACCGTTTTCTGTAGTGGTCAAGGATAGCTGCTTTCCATATGCAGCAATTGTATTAACAAAACTATCAGTTCCATATAGGGTACGTTATAGATAATACATATTTCAGTATGCTTGTAAGCAAAAGCCTTTCCTGTTGTATAACTGAGTACACATGGTGCATCTTTGGTCATATCAGCTACAACATAAACATCCATCAGAACCAGGCCCTACATCTCCAGAGGGAATGGAAGTTATTTCAAAACAGTCCTGGCCAACTACAAAACATAACTTATAATTGTCAGAAACCTTTCATGTTCACAAAGGTTTGAAACATAAAACTTGAGTGCTTCCCTGATGGTCAGAAAGGATTTCATGCCAGTGCTTTACTCCCCGGATATTTACATCATTGCAGCTGTTGTTGACTGCAGCCATGCAGATTAAATAAAGACCTGCCATAATGTTTTGCTTTAACCAGATTTGTGAGATTTCTGTCTGTGACTGATGTTTACAAAATGTCCAAAGAGTGAGGAGGTAGTCTGAGCGTGGACCAATTTTATCAACAGGCTACACAGCTAACAAAGTTCATCTTAAAATGTGTCTGAAGGTGTTGGCCCATTGTTTAATCTATAACAATTTTGTATGAATAAAACATCATGAACAACTATAACTCCCAGTTAATAAAGTGTGGAGTTGCAGGTGAGAAAGCTAGTTCAAGATTCTCATTAAAGCAGAGCCAAAAGCTTCACAGTGATGGCTTACCAGTTTTGTCATTACTGGAATGCAACAAAGCCAGTTAAACCAAGGTTACTGTTGCTCTTGGATCTCATCAGGTTCTAATAACACCCCTGAACTTACTACGCTAGAGAATGACTAGAGGGAAACATTTTAAAGTTTGTCCTTGTGTGTTATATTTATTTAATAAGAATCCAGTACTTAGCATGCAGACATGTTTTAATCTGCTTTACAAAACAACAATAATCGTTAAATAATTAAACAGAGTGAATTTAAAAATCCACATGCTCACTAAATGTTATGGTGCACATCAGGCATTAAAATTTCAGTTTTAGAAACCATGAAAATTATTAGCTAAAGGAAATCCTTTTTAAACTTTTTTGTAAGAAAATAGCATATGGAGAAACTATTTATCCAAAGAATGTACCAAATGTTTTGTTAGTATCGATACAAATTCCCCTTCAAAGTGGCCTGAGTTAAGAATGCATGGCAGGCACTTTGAATACATTAGGCAAACACATGCAGCAGGTTGTGTCATCTACACTGATGTCCCTGCGCAGAATCCACTGTGTCTGTGAGGCTACAGCAGGGCGCAGTAGCCCAAATTGAACTTTGTAATCAGGTTTCATGAGGAAATATCTATATTATTCATTCATTTAGGGGATTTTGTGCCATTGTTCTGTTTACTATTGTATATTTTCATTAAGACAGTGCCACTTTATAAAGATGTGAAAAGCTCACTGAGAGATTTCAAGTTCTAATTCACCAAAAATCCATTTACAATTTCAGAAACTAGCTTTCAGGTGATTTCAAATGACTTTGACTCAACTATGGGAATTTTAGATTATTATATTATTATTATATTAAGGAAAGCTAGTGTATGGCAACCTATTCACTGTTCATAGACCACAGAGCCAAGATGGAAGAAATAACAGTAAGAGGCAGGGATAGTTCTTGACTTATTATCAGCTGAGCTTGTGTAATGGTATTTTATGCTTTAAGCTGTTTTATAAACTCTCAAATAACAATGGAATTCACTTCTGTGTATTCCTTTTGTATTTTCAAATAAAGATAGACTTTATTTTTCTTTGTAGTGCCGTCTTTTCTCTCAAAGCCTTTAAGCCCTGCAGGAAGTTTTGTGCTGCCTATTTTTGAAACCTGCAGAGAAGAGGGAGAGATAGAAAACTTGTTTGTTGTCTGAAGGATTTTTTTATTGTTGTTGCGAATATTAATTACATATGTGCGGTGGAAATTCAAGTTAGAGAGTTCAAATGTTCAGATTATCTTTGTTAGGT